TAACACATACTTCTGGGGTGACAGATAAGATTCCACAGCGTGATAACTTATCTTGATGCCTCGTAATTGTTCAATTCCCAACTAGAGCAACTTTTATTTATTGATTACTCTAGTACAATTTGTTGTGGGGAATCATCAAATTTACATTTTGGTATTTACATGTAGCGCTTTTCCTGGCACTTCCGACAGCAATTCCTCGTTAATCTAATGGTAATTTGATGGGCCTTTGAAAACTAATAAGCAAACTCTCATTCATACAGCTAGAGGTGTCTTATTTAATCGCTCTCCACTGTGTATTTTATTTCCATGAATTAATTTACAATCGGTCCAATGCAAATTGGATTTTAATTTAGCCGAAGCTAGAGCGTGGGTCGGAAAATTCACTCAACAACGCCATTGAAATGTTCTTCAAGGGGTTGGAAGTTTTTTTTCACATGAATTCAACAGAGGGTTCAATTTCAATGGGATTCCTCACCACGGACGAGTGAAGGCCCAACGGAAGCGTCTCTCGAGCGTCTTGCCAACTGTATGACGCAGACAATGCCTGGGTGATCCTAAAGAGGTTGTGTGTTTAAAATAATAGCTAATACGATGACAAGGATGCTTTTGTGCTGAGAGGCGTTCTGCTGTGAGATTCTTGAGAGAGGAGCAAGAGGGGGTGTGATGAAAACAACAAAGGTCGATTACATAGGATAATTAAGAAAATGCCAGAGAGAGAAGAAAAGCCAAAGAACAAAAGGGTGTGGGCACCGCAAGAAATTTATCTGCATGATGTGCTATAGAGGCTGCATGTGTGTGTGAGCGGATGTGAAACCGAAAATGGGGAGTCTCGGCGATATCTCATGTAAACTAATAATAATATTTCCCATGAGTGTGGGCGGGGGAGGCTTTTTATTGTGTTTTACCATTAATCTTCCTCCAACATCATCCATAACGACGAGAATACTGCAATTTCTGGCCCATTCCTGGGACTCTCTCTCTCCCTCCACATTCACCCATCAAATTTATGCATATTTAAGGGGCTCCCAAGTACCCCGAATTTATCTAGATCAGTGGAGAAAGTCAGAGGGTGGGAAGATAGCGCAAGCATGAAATTCACTACGCTAGTTGTTCACCTCAGAAACCGAAGCCCGCATTTGCGTTTTGCGAGTTAGACGGAAAACACTCACGATTTCGCTGAAGCTCCGCAAATCACCCTCGAAAATACTCACGAGCTTTTCAAACTTCCCCCTTTCCTCCACATACACAAACACACCCTCGGCAAAATCCCAATCTGTGGCAGAAAAGTGGCGCGCAGAGTGAAAAGGTTAAAGATTATTATTATTGTTATGACTATTGACTTGATTCTGTCGAAAAATCGAGGCGTTCACATACAAAATGCAATGAAATAAATCACAGACTTTGGCCATGATGAATATTTTCATCTCTGCGGCGCGCTCTGGCACACAGCTCTTGAGGAGAATTCTTCTCATCTTGGGTGAAATGAATGGCGAAAGGAAGAGGAAATGATGGAAAAATAGGCGTTTCTCATACATTTCCGAGGGTGAGATTCTCTTCCACGCAATTTTTTACCGACCCTCGCGCGTTCTGGGGGTTGAATGAAGGCAATACTTGCAGAGACTTGGGTCGAGGCGCAGTATTCATTAGATTTATACCATACAGGAAAATTAAAGATCAACAATAATTTCCTGCATTTCTACTCGCTGTGGATGTGCCATTTTTCTTGCCACATCCACGCATATTTCATCGCTTGAAGGGTAAATTGCGTGCCAAAAGATACCAATTAAGTTGAACCTGAACGGGAGGAGTTGGAGTGAAGAAGGTGGACAGGAGCGCAAACTAAGAGGAATAATTCCCATTGACATAGTCATAGAAAATCCCCTCCTCATTGGTGGATTATCATTATCATCATCATCCATTTGGGCCCATGAATGCGAGGCTCCACCGAGAGTGAAAATCACCCCAAAATTGCCGGCAAGAAAATCTAGCAAACCCTGCGTATGTGCCTGAATGTACATATTTACTTCTTCATCATTATGCCTAATCCATTTGGAATCTGTAGCCATTTTTCCTGTTGGGCCCAAAAGCGCTGCAAAATATCTCCTCATATCGGAACAACTTGCCGAGGGTGGAGCAAAGAAATCCCCAAAGTAGATTAATCAAGTGCATTGATGGAGAATGAGGAATCCTCACGCCTTTTCGTCAACTTTTCTCATCTCTATATCTTCCCATACAATCCACTGTCTTTTTACGTGATGGAGTGATAGAAATTTTCCGGAATAGCCTTCACGTTCCACCAACTTATTCAATTCGCTTGAGGAAACCGACACACTCATGGCGATAGGTGATAAAATCCTCAAAGTATCTCTTCCCATCAAGTGTCTTTCCAATCAATTTTTTGCCCTAACACGAGCATTGGATACACTAAGTATATATATGAGCTATTATGCTGTACAAAGGCAAGATAGAGGAAAATTGCATTCTTTCCAAACAGCGACACACACACAAAATCTCATCCTTCTGAAAGTGAAACGATAACGAGATTAAATGTGCAAAGTGTCATCAGCATTCTCGCGTAGAATTCCCGTGGAAATGAAGACATTTTTTCATATTTTCAATTATTCACTGGGGAAAATGAACTTGTTGAGACACACTTTGTAAAAAGACATCAAAGTACGAATAAAGTTACAGATTTTAATAGCTTTCTAGGGGAGTTTTCTACTTTTCTCGACAACCTCATGATGTTTAACTGACTTTTCGCAATATATATATGGTTCTATTCACCCTTATCGCATTGTAATCAAATGGATAAACACACAAATGGATGCATGAGAAAACTTTCAATCATATCATACCAATAATATTGCTGCTGTCTTAAGATATTTCCATATTAGAGACTCAATTTTAACTTTAGCGCGTAGAAAGTTAAACCGAAAGGAATTTTCTTGATATATTTCACTTCAAAATAGCTTTTTACTAGAGATTTTACTTGATTTTTGTTCATTTCTGAAATGATTTAGTGTTAATATCGCTTCAAAACTTGTCAAATTTACCTACAAACCCCAAAAATACCTTCTAATCGTTGGTTAAAGTGCTGATATTGCTTTGAAATAATTGTTTTTTGTATTTTTTAGTTGATTCTATTGGAATTTATTGAAATTTTTGACTGAAATTATGGCAAAGTTTACAGATAAACAGAAAATATTAGTTTTTATAATCGATTTTTAATAGTTTTCAAGTATATTTTAACTAAAAAACCAATTTTCCCACTTTACATGAACTTTTCTTCAAGGTTTTCAAGTGAAAAAAAATTAAAAGATATTGCAAATATTTTATTCCTTCAATATCTATAAAGATTTAAGAAAAATTCTGCAGAATTGGTGCAATTGTTCGCAAAAATGTAGATCCTGAAACACAATTTCACGGCTTTTCTTTATCTCTCAATCAATTTTTATTTTATTAGAGTCCTATTCAATTTGTACACACTGTACAACGCGGAATGGTTTTAATTCAGTGGAAAAGAGGTATGAGAACATAGATTAAATGCTCTGTTCTTTCTGTTTGCTGAGTCCTCGGGATATTTTCCCTTTTTTTGTGCAGAAATATTCCATTACATCCTGGCAGTGTTTTTCCTATTTGAATATTGAAAATTCATATCTAGGAACACATATTGCACAAGCAAATAATAATATTATTTCATGGGATTTTCCATTTGGGTTTGCAGAAGAAACATTAGCAATCGCGAAATATCTCTGGCGATCAATTGCTCGCGATTCATGCTCCTGCAGACGCCATGTGGATTGCATTAAAGTGACCCTCTTATGGATGTCTTGCATGGCTCTCTCGGCTTCTCCCCCGAAGCTCTAAGGCGGATTTGCATATTTCAGTGGCGGAGAATGGGAAAATGGCAGTTTTCTTTGCATCCGAGATGGTTTATTGCAATTTCAGGTCAGACAGGGACGGAATTGGGTGCTTGTTGGTTTGTTTCTTGCTGGTCATGTCCTGAAAATACTGCCACTTAATTTTCCTCTGCAAAAAAAAGGAACTGAAGGAACACATGCTGTCTCTCTTGCCATGCTCCTTTCCTTCCCTCCTTCGGGCCATTCTCTGGGCTGAATTGTTGTACAATCGTGTGATGATCTGGGTGAATGTTGTGCTTTGAGTGGGATCGAAGAGGCAGGAGAGTGTATAATGCGATTCTTTGTCCCAGTGTGGCTCGCCATCATCGGGAGGGATTGTGTTGCATTCATCAGCATCACATCTCTCGACATTTTGGCACGCATGCTCAGTGTTTGCCGAAGGACTCGCCCTTGCTTCGTCAACTCCTACGCACAGGGATGAAATTCCAGGCGAAACATTTGCACTTTTGCACTCTCTTCGGTTGGTGTAAAATGTGTTTTTGTTGTGCATTTGATTGATTGAAAATTCGACTCTGCGTTGAGTGTAAGAAGAAGACGGTATCTGAGAATAAAATCTCTTCCAGTGGCTGGTTTCTTCTGGATCTGGCTCTGATTATTTCCAAACCATGGATCTTTCTCGCTTCCTCTCGTCCCGTTTGGCGTGAATGCTCGCCACTGTTCGCCTCTCTTGTACGCTCAAACACAACACAGTCGCACAAAGCGCAATTGAGGAAGGCAAAGAGTTCTGCAGACTGCCAAGCGAGCCATCCAGGATGGGTTTTGCCTCAGAAAACTTCTTATTCTGCCACCCTGGAAATATGTGAAAGTGATCCTTTCTGAATATGTCTTCTTATACCGAAATAATTGGACTTTAAATGTACTCTCAGCTTCAGCTTCAACTCTGCTAAGCACGCTTTCTAGCACCTCTGGAAGAGACAATATCTCTCCGCTTCTCTGTGTTGAGGAGCGAGTTTGAACAGCAGCAGCGAAGCACTGGTTTGTTTGCTATCTGCACCAGGGCAAAGGGGACGCGCAGAAGGGGGCGAAAGTGTCTCAAACATCCAGCAATGAGAGTTCACACTCAATTCACCATCGCAGTTCAAATCAGTTTACTCTCGAGATCCCAACCGGAGGCATCGACTTTGTCGCCACATTCTTGGTGTGTCTCTTCACTCAGCAAAGCAACTGCAGAGAAGTCGTTCTGTGCCGCAGTGTTCTCTTGTGAGATTTACAGTTCCGATTAGCTTTGGCTTGTGGATAGACACTCTTGTCGACTTGTGTGCTGGTGTGCAAAGGGGACGTTTTAAGACAGTGATTGACGGGAGATCCTTGCAAATTGTGCTGACCTCGAGGAGTCGTTCAAATACTCGTCTGCGTGTGGATCAAACATTTCACGGTAAGAATGATATTTTCTCGCCTCGAGCATCACATCTCTCGTCAATTTTCACTGGCTTTCCCATCCCCATCGGATGCTCTCAATATGGGATACAGCAGGGGAAATGTGGAGAGGGACAGAAGAGCCAAAGAAGAAATTATTGAAGCGCAGAGAAACATGATAAAAGCCAGTGTTGATGCGATAGAATGGTTTTGAGAAAGACTGTCTCACAGTGAAAACTTTTGCCTTTGTCCCACACTCTTTTTCTCGTGCACTTGTGATCATGTTTTTCTCCCCTCAAAATCACTCAAATGGCAAGTGCCACAGATAATGCAAATTTCTAAGACATTCATTCTACACTTTATGCAGTCAGAATACATAATGAAGTGTGTCCGGAGATCGCGTTTTTGCAACTTCAAATTTACTGGATTTTTTCTTCTCTGTCCGTTGAGCAGTTGTAAAAACTGCAAAGATAATTCACTTTCATTGTGAATTCAAAGAGCATCAAATCCCCCAACTGAGAAGGGTGAAGCGAGCGAGAGAGAGAGAGATGATTTCTTTGGGGCACGGAAAAAGTGGCAAAAGGCGCCAAAGGGACGTAAAATCTCACTCTATAATCTCACTGCTTCCTTCCTCCTTTTTTTTCCACCCACTGAGTAGAAAGTTGGTTGCCATTTCTTCGGGGTGTGTTTGTCTCGTCATTTGCCTAGTCCAAGAGATGGAGAGGATCTGGTGAAAACCCTCCCGGAGGACTCTTGCTCTTTGGGGTGGCGGAATATAGACATTCTCATGCATATTTCAGGGCGCTTGCAAAAGTGATTTTAATCATTTCATTCGCTGCTCTGCCGGCGAAACAGGGAAATGGACAAATTCTGCCTTATTCATAATCTCAAATGGTATTTCTGGTCAAGCCTGAGGGGGTGGTGGGTGGACAGGGGAGGCCTTATCTACTGCTGCTCGCTTTTTTCGGTGTTTTCACCCGGGCTTTTTTTTCTACATAATTTCACAATAATTTTTTCTATGTGATAAGCCACTTTTTGCCGCTTTTTTCAGTCTGTGGGACATCAATTTACGACCAGAGTGTGAGAGGACAGTAGCGTAGCAGGGCTAAGGGGGGAAAAAAGGTGGATTGCCGCGGGTTAAAAAGCGAAAGGGTTCATAAAATGTATCAATTTTTATCTTAATGCTAAAAGATAGCGAACCAAACGCTATGTTTTTACGAGAATTTCGTCTGAAAATACATTTTTTAACTTATTATCTGTATGACTTGTTTAAATTGATTAAAAACCGTCTAGAATATCGGCATAAACATATTGCTTTTGGACACTTTAATGCATTTTAATTAAATCGCAGCCGTTAAACCATATCCAGATCGATCTAGATTAACTCTGTGGGGATATTTCATTGGCTATGTATTCGCGAATACGAATATATGTATGCAGGAGTGGTGAAAATTGTGTTGGCTTCGGGTGCACAGGTGAAAAGAATTATTTTCTTTCAATTTCACCTGCTGTGTCGCCAAATTCTATTTCCTCTTCTTCTCCACCTCCACCTCAAAGTCACTCTCAATTTTTCCTGTGGCGCCCTTTTTTCGCCATTCCTCTGAAAAATGTCTTGCAGTTATGTACACACCTCTGTGCTGACAATATGAAATTGCCTCACGAGGAGTCTTCTTCTCTTTTTTTATTGTTACACCGCACGTCTTTTCTTTCTTTGCTTGGCGCACAAATTAAATTGTCAACAAGATGTTGAGGAAAATTCAGTCTGGATGGGAAAAATAGCGACGATGAGATGAGAGAGGTTGGAAGAGAAAGTGAAAGAAAGTGCGAGTCTAATTATAATTTTCTCATGTAACCATTGGGTATAAATTCACATTTGGCATGACGAAGTGGTGAGAGAAGTGAAATATTGCAAATTTAATTTGTTTCCACAGAGACAGAGAGACAGAGAGTGAATCGAAATCCCCCTTTTCCGGGGAGGCATTTCAATGGATCGTGTTCGTTATAGGGTTTCCATTTCCATTTTAGATGGGATGCAAAAGGGCAAGGCATTCATCTCTTGATCTTCTTATTATGGTGAAATGAGAGGAATTTGCTACCTCTGTCATATATACCCTTTCCCCCAAATTGCCTTTTACTCTCACTCACTCTCTATGTACACCGAAAGGGGGAGACAGACGCAAAATACTGGGTTGATGTTGATGATGGGAATTGGACAAATATTATTGGAACAAATTTATTTGCTCGACATCGATAGACAACTATTTCTCCTCCGCCGGTGTGTGGCTTCTTGTCCGCCGTGTTCAATCATTTTGGGGAGGGAAGTTGATCAACAAGATGAAAGCTCCTGTACTATCGTCACTTCAATCAATATTGACGAGATCATGCACTCAGCCGAGCGACCAGCAGAAGGGTTGGGGTTGGCACAGCACTTACAAAATTTCCATATTTGTTTGATTAAGTGCACATTGAGACAACTTGGGAATATGCGACAGAAGGTGGGAAAGCTCCGAGTGTGATTGTGACTGAATTGGGCAATGCCTGTGTAATTTATACACTGTTTGACACGTTCAGTTTCACACCAAAATGGTAGAATTTGCAGAATATCATCTATTGATAGGCAATGACATCGGTGATGCTTTCAATACATAATTAATAGTAAGTGGGCAATGTTTATTGAATTATCTCTGAACTCTGAACGGCATCCTACATATTTCCTCAATCTCCTTATTCGCATCATTGAATGATTTCAATTTAATACACTTCCTTGCTTACCAAGGGGGAGATAATATGCCTTAAATCTATACATCTTTTAGAACGTGAAATTAGTAGTCTGTTTTCACATTCATTCCCAAATTTGTCAAGTTTCCATTCAATATTTCTGCAAAAATCGACTTTGACTCACTTTTTTGGGTATTTTTTCAACTATAACCTCAAAATATCACTAAGAGATCTTCAAAAACTCAATTTAAAGACTTTCTAAATCACAAAATCATGTGTTATAATTTGCAAATGAACTAAGAATTGCTGATTCAGAGGCAAAATTGTTCAAAAAGTTTTCTAAATGACAATTTTTGAGGTTATGTTAAATCTTATCACAATTTGCAGTGTTTCTTGGCATCAAAAGATCAAAAAAGCACTTTTAATTGCTTCAAAATGCTTATTTTTGCCAATTACTGGCAAGCTTGACGACTTTAGTATAAGAATTTATGTGCTAAAATGCTAATTATTCACTAAATCTGTTCTTGATTCGCTACATAACCTAGAAAAAAGATTATTACGATTGTTTCTGCATGTAAATTGAAGGGAATCAATTTGGATGATTTGTCAGTAAAAGCAGGATTCAGGAAGGGAATATTGTATGTTTCCCAACACTTCTTTAGTACTTCTGCTGAGCTGTACACCACTTCTGACTGCATTATCTCCCCCTTGCTGATTACAATACATGCTGAGTTTCTTTTCGCCATCTCAGAGGAGATGTCTGCGTGTCCTCCAAGTTTGTTGGCTCCTCGTCGTCATCAGAAATGCAATTTATATCGTAGATGAAGGGAGTGTGGGAGTCGCAAAAAATATTTTAAATATTTTATTAAGGGGAAAACAAGGAAAAAATTTCAACGGAGAGCAAAAGAACAAGGCAGGGTGGAAAATTCTTCAGGGGATTTTTCATCATTTCCACCCACCCACTTTCCCCCTCCTCCTCACATTGCCATTCTCAGGCATTTTCCAACGTGAAACATAAAATTGTGATGGCTTCATAAGCAAGAGGAAGACCCTCGGCATGGCAAAAGGGAGAATCATGTTGTGAAAATTTGTGACAAAAAGTCTCATGAGAAATCATCATTAATCATATGCTTGGCGGTGGGAAAAAGGAACATTTTCACATGCTTTTCGCCTCAATGAAGCAAGGATAAAGAGAGGCTCGTCTGTGATTTTTTTTAACACACAGAGATTGAAAGGGAAATTTATCTGTAGAACTTTCGACCACACTGAAGTGTGAAATTCCCGTCGATTCAGGAACACATGTGGAGGAAAAGTGGCAAGAATCTCAATCTGGGAAGTCAGGTGAGAAAATTACCCTCTTGCCGAGAGTTCTGCCCACACACTAATGGACGCATACATCAAGTGAAATCCACCCTGAGACTGCACTTTGATGCCACACTAAAAGCTCAGCGCAATTTTAATGAACCACATATGTTTGATCCCTTCTCTATCTGGATTGCTCTCATGAGCAAAGCTCCACCTGAAGTTTTTCACCGTGCAGAAAGGGATAAACATTAAAGAGACACACTGGTAGATTGCCAAAACCATGCCAGGATGTGAGAGAGAGAGTTTTCTCTGCTCCGTGTGAATATACAAATTTCACCCGCGTGAAGTGTGTGTGTGTTGTGAAAATCTCGGGCAAAATGTACTCCCACCCAATAAATTCACTTTTCCACGGAGAAAATGTCACCGCACAGTAATCACATTTAATGTGTTTATGCTCTGGTGGAAATTCTTGGCAAGTTCGTGTGTACTTTAGTCCTCAAGCAAATTTTCATCCACTTAATCTATTTGCTGATAGTGGCTGTGATAAAAAGAGATATATTAAATTACACCATACATTGCATCCACAGGAAAAGCTTCGTCTCTCTTCGTGGGATGTTTCTCACGGAAATTCCATTTATATTTCCCTGTCATCTTTGTGTGCGTCTTGTGAAAATGATGCAAATTTACATGACAAATGAGTAACAATTATATAATCACACTTGCAAGGAATCACTTTGACAATGCATGTGGCATAAATTGCTCCTCGGCACGTCGAAGAATTCTCTGCGAAAGACAAGACTGACACTCTGGTTAATTAAAAAAGACACCATTTTTTACACTTTAGCACACACCATCATTTTTATGGCATTTTCACCATCCCTTGGCGGGGCTTTTTGCCACTCTGTGTCGCCATAATAAAGCTAAAAGCTCATCATTCATATTGTATGATGAGCGACTGGTGCAAATAATATGCCGTGGAAGTAGAAATTATATATT